TATGATTAATGTGTATAAGTTCAGGAAGGGAGAATGCAGGGAGGAAGGGGACAGGCTGTTCTCACTGGTGGCCAGCGATAGGACGAGGGGTAATGGCCACAAGCTGAAGCACAAGAAGTTCTGTCTCCAGGTGAGGAGGAACTTCTTTACTGTTAGGGTGACAGAGCAGTGGAACAGGCTGCCCAGGGAGGTTGTGGAGTCTCCTACTCTGGAGGTCTTCAAAACCCACCTGGATGCCACCCTGTGCCACATGCCCTGGGTGTGCCTGCTTGAGCAGGAAGRTTGGACTAGATGATYTCTAGAGGTCCCTTCCAACCTTAAATATTCTGTGAATCTGTGAATCTGTGAAAACATTTGTGGGTGCATGGCAGAGATGGAGCAAACCCAGGTTGCTCAGGCATGGACTAAGTGACCTAATTGCTCTCACATTCCTGATATGTGATTTATAAATGCACTTTTTTGGTCTCAGCAAGCAACTCCAATAGTTGTGAGTTTTCTTTTCCATCTCCATTTTACTTTTTCCTCCTAACACTTGGAGATGTTTCCAATTATAGGTTCTCACAACTAGAGGCATGAAATTCAGGCCTGGGAGATGTTCGAAAAACACCTTCTTGTGTCTTGCGTTTTTATTCTTGTTCTCCCCAGAGATCAGCTTATTCAACAAGAAATGACCATTGCTGCCATTTACTGAATTTTCCCCAATGGGGCTGCAGTTTTTACTTTCTTGGCTTTTCTGGCTGATCTTTCCCCCTCTTTGATGAAGGGAATGTCTTGCTTGTCATGTTAAAAATCTGTTCCTCCCTGACGGTGATCATCTCAGTCCTTACGTTGTAATGTCAAACTGGAGTGGTTTCTTTATGACTCCACGGTCCTCTTTCTTCACAACCAGGACTAGCTTCAGGCCAAATTCAGCTTTCATCCCAACGTGGAGATTCCCTTTTTGCTGTTCAGGTTTGTCTGTACGGGTAACATGCAGGTGCCTCGCTAAGGCTTCCAGATCCTTTAAAGATGCTCGAGATGTCTGCACAAGGCTAGATAAAATCTGTAAGAGATGTGCATCCTTCAAGAGGGGCAACCACAGTCCAGATGGGATCTCTGGGGTCTCTCAGATCTAAGATCTGTGCAGTCACAGAGTCACAGAATCAGAGAATGGTTGAGGTTGGAAGGGACCTCTAGAGAGCATCTAGACCAACCCCCCTGCTCAAGCAGGGACACCCAGAGCATGGGGCACAGGGTCACACTCAGGCAGATTTGGAAGATCTCCAGAGAAGACTCTACAACCTCTCTGGGCAGCCTGTTCCAAGATGTCTCTAATTAGGTGTCTCTAATTAGGCAACTGAGTTGCTCCTCCACAGTTCAATCTCTCTCAGAGACCTGGACTGCTCCCTGTTTGCCCAAAGTTCAGGCTGTAATGTTCTCTCACTGCATCTGCCTCACCCTGCTTGCTTGTTTTGCTTCTCAGGACATCCTGTGCTRGAGTATTTATCATCTTTATTCTATTAGTGGCGAGCTGTGTTGGCCTCCTGCCTGATTGTGTTTCAGCCCTTTCCTGAGGCTTACTGATAGGCTTTCTGGGATAAATTTTTCACAGGTTTCTGGTGCCAAGTGCTAGAGGTTGGATTCATCTCRCTAGCTCTATGCTTCCACTGTGCAAACACCTGCATTTGGTGTCTGAGTTTGGTRCCAGTGCTGAAAACGGGCACTTAGAGGGCATTTGTTGTCATCTGCAACTACAGAGCTCAGAAGTAGGTGCTCAGATTACACCATATTACACCATACACCAATTACACCGTAGACATGGATTTCCTTTCCRTGGGTTAAAGAAAAAACATGGGAAACTACTGTGATGGTCCCATTGTGGAGGTTTGCACTCATGTGATATGGCTGCTTTCCCAAGACTCATGCCTCTAGCTTGAAGGGCATGATACTTCCAAGCTACTTGAGTCCCAGAATATCACAGAATCACACAAGGGTTGAGATTGGAAGGGACATCTGGAGATTATCTAGTCCAAGCCCTACTCAAACAGGGACACCTAGAGCACATTGCACAGGACCCTGTACAGGTGGCTTTTGAATCTCTCCAAGGACAGACACTTAACAACCTCTTGGTTGCCACAGTCCCACCGTGCAAGAGACAGAGATGAACATTAGGATAGAATATTTTTGTCAATTTTTTTTTTGCTTTCCCTTGAAATTCTCTTGCCAAAGCTTCTGTTCTCTGTATATTAAACGAACCTCTTTAAGTATATATATGACGTATATATTTGTATAGCTAGCAGAGTGGTGTTTTCCCTTCCAAGTTTGCCACTGATTATCTAATGCCAAAAGTGCCAAAATCCATTCGCCTGGGAATTTTTCAGCTCAGACCTAGCAGGAATCGTAGCTTTTCCCTATTCAAAGAAGGGCTGGGGTTAGTAGTTGTGTGTAGCCCAGAGAGAGCGCCAACATACACACTGCCTCATTCAAGGCAATCTTGAGGGAGTCTGTGGAACATAGGTGTGTTTTCCTGAAAAATGGAGATCAGAGCTAATACCTCCAATCTTGGTTTGTGCTCAATTTTAGCTCTGTTTCCATCTCATTTAACTTCTGAAGGACATGGATGTCACAGCAATAAAATGAAATTTGCCCAGAAATGTGTCTAATAGGCCAAACTAACCAAGATGGCTTAGGATGAAACTAAAAGGCAACACATTTAACAAGGAGAGAAGGAAATATGTGTTAAGGCAGTGGGTTGCCAGGATCATACGCCAGTTAGTGATGCAGCCAGCTAGAAAGTTGTTTTATGGGAATGAATAACATTTATGACTGCTCTAAGCAGGTCATAAAGATACAGAGGGAATTTCACACCAAGCTTCAGCTGATCACTGTGGGTGCTTAAGAGCAGCACAGCCCAGAACGATGCATAGCACCATTTGCTTGTTTTTTTTTCTTTTACCTGAAGCATGGTATGTGGGTAGTTACACACTAGAAGAACCAATGGTTTATCGGATGCTGTTGGTTTCTTGAACAGTCATGGTGCAAAGTAGATCCATCTAAGATTGGACCCTGATGCTGTTTTTACACACGCTTGTGTTGTGCTTCTGCACTGAATTTGTGAAGATGATGGAAACAGTCTTATCTTAGTGCAACAGCAATGGAACTGTTGAAGTCCTTGGCTTTAACTCTAAGAGAAAGCATCTGTTTCGCGAACTTGGTGGCTTTTTCTTAGGCCTTGCAGAGGATTTTCTCCATAATTAATTACATGACATTTAATATAATCCTTAGAAAGTGTGTGAGACAGATGCTGAATGCAAAGCACTGATAACACCAATCTCAGAGTCTTGGAAGACCCAGCTTTCCATTATCATGGAATTGATGGGTCATTATTCACTCTGCTGGGAGGTCTGTCCTCTTTATTCTTCAGCAAAAAACCTTCCCATGGGGATTCACACATTCAGTCAACTTGGCAATGCTCCCCAGAAGCTTGGTCCTGGCTTCTCTGTATGATCAACAGGGCACTTTCAGAGGGTGATTCTTTCCAGGTATCTAAATAACTACCTTAGATGAGACATATTATTCTTAAAAGTTGTCCATCTTTCCCCACTGACCATACGGATGAGCTTGAATTAAGCACTTAAAATTAAGAGGGCTAAAATGAGGTTAGTTCAATGCAGGTCAAAGTATTTACTGGATTCAAAGTCGTGGAAAAATTAATGCTGACCTGAAGATTAACTTTTGCAGTTTTTAATGCCTTTTTGCGTATGTTTTGTCTCCCCAGAGCTCTGTCCAAGACTCCTGCAGCTTTGGCTTTGAATCAAACCCAGCACTGCAAGCAGCTTGAAGGCTTGGTGGTTTCCCAGGTGCAGCTATGTCGAAGCAACCTGGAGCTAATGCAAACCATCATCCAGGCAGCACGGGAAGTGATAAAGACCTGCCGTAAAACTTTCTCAGACATGCGGTGGAACTGCTCTTCCATTGATCTGGCTCCTAACTACCTGCTGGACTTAGAGCGAGGTAAACATCACTGTTGGCTTGGATGGGGACATGAGTGAGTAGAGCCAGGCAGCTATGTGTGGATGCATTGCTGGGGTCTGGGAAGGGTCCTGTGAAGGGTCCCTTGTTTTGTTCTCTGAGACCCCATTGGGATGCCCATTACATGTAGGAGCTCTTGAATCCACCACAGTTCCCAGGACAAATGCCTCCAATTTGGTTTGCTCATTWATGGAGCAGATGGGTCTCACTCCTTCACCGTCATGGACTATTCTTCAGAGCATGGAGACCTGTCACRCAGTTCACACTAAGTGTGAGGCTGAACATGCAGCTCTGGGTCCTGCTCTCCTTGCATGCACTAGGTGCAGTGCAGCTGCATAGTCTCCTGCAGCTCCATGCCCCTCTGTCAAGCAGTGTCCAGCACTGGAATGGAAGCAGGGAGGAGAAACCAGGCTTTCTCATTTGCCCCAAGAATAGGACTTTGCATCTCCCTGCCCTGATAGGATGATGTCTCATGTTAAAGAAGAGTTTGTTTGGGAGATTTACTCCAAGATGGTGATGCTATGAGAGGTCTCAACTGCAGCGAGTTGGCATGTTTGGTGGAGCAGAAGCTGTGCAGGTCTCTTTCTGGAGAACATTTAGTTGTCGCAGAGGCTGAGCTGTAGTTCTTATCTCTTCCAGGCACAAGGGAGTCAGCATTTGTGTATGCGCTTTCTGCTGCTGCCATCAGCCACACCATTGCTAGAGCCTGCACCACCGGGGACCTCCCTGGCTGTTCCTGTGGTCCCATCCCAGGTGAGACACCTGGACCTGGGTATCGATGGGGAGGATGTGCAGACAACCTCAACTATGGTCTTATCATGGGGTCCAAATTTTCAGATGCTCCCATGAAGATGAAAAAATCAGGATCACAAGCCAATAAACTGATGCATCTGCACAACAGTGAAGTAGGGAGACAGGTAACAAATCCACGAGAGTTATTGTAATTGTACAAACATCTGTAGTGGTTGGTCGCTCTGTGAAGTTCACTGTCTCTATCAGCTAGCAAAAGGAGAAGGTTTCTCCAAGATGCTCTGAACCCCTTTGGCCTTTTTAGGCCGTGATTGTAGCTCATGCTGTGACTCAGGAGGCCTCTAACGCTATTACCAGCCCTATATAACCATGGGTGGGATGTCTCATCACTACCTTCTCCTCAGCGGGGAGATGTGGTGTGGATGGGTCCAGCAGAGCTCTGCCAAGGGCGTCACACATGTCAAGTGCTGTGTAAGCGTGCAGGATTATCATCTGCCAAACGATTCCAACAGCAGCTGCCTCCCAGCCATTCCTGCAGCCAGGAGGGCTGATTTTCTTTCTGTTTTTTTTTTTTTTTTTCTTTTTTAGCTGTTTTGCTAGTGAATATCCCCCTGTCTGGCAGAAGCAGGTTTTAACAGCTCGCATCCAGCCAACGTGCCAATGGAGGGATAATGCTTAACACGTGCACGGAGCTTGGTGTGCACCGAGAATGCAATCCCCAGCAGAGCCATCCATGCAGCTGGAGAAACTGGGGAAGGGCGTTGTAAGGGTGAACTCTGCGTGTGTCCTTTGGGCGGCAGCGGTTCCCTAGGCTGGTCCCTTTCTGGGGGTGCCTCTTGGTGAGGTCGAGGACAGGGGCTACAGCTTAGCCCTTCAGGGCTGCGCTCACATGGAGGCAGGATCTGCAACAGATAAAACACAGAAGAGCATTGAGCTCATTGGCAGCTTATTGACTAGCTGTGGGCTGAACTCACCTTTACAGAGCACCACCATGCCAAAAATGCCTCCCCCGGGTGCTTTTCTCTGCCATTCCCTGCACTTCCACTCTCTATGCTTTTTTTTTTTTGCTTTTTTTTTTTTTAAGTCTTACAATGTCTTAACTTTTTCTTTTAATTGCATTGGGCATATTGTTGCTTGGGACACAGTGTCACCATGGCTAGTGCATTCACCCCTTCCTGGCGGTGTTCCCTGCCATGTCCCACAGACAAGAGGCTTGTGCAAAACCAAAATAAAAGGCTCACTTGGCCCATGGCCAGCAAAAAGGCAGGGTGAGGGTGCCCTGAATGCTTCAGAGCCTTGGCATATCTGTTACCCAAWGCCTAAATCTGCTGGAGGCATAATGTATGTTAATTATCTATGTATGGATTGCTTTGATTTCCAGCTCCTTAGAAATCTAGAGGGTGTAAATGCAGCACTGTGCAGATATCTGATCAAAATTCATAATACTGTTTTGTCTCTTGGCTGCCTACGGAGGTGCCCTGGTGAAAATAGTCCTGGGCTGATAGTGATCATCAAGGAGCTGCAGGGTTTAATTCCCTATGCACAGCAGCTACCCAAGCACGACTGTGCAGAAATCAGAGCAGCAATCCCTTTCAATAGCAGTCTTCATTAAGACAGTATCTTCTTTAGAAAGCTGGTGGGATGCTTGGAGGTAAGAGAAGGGCATTTCTTAACTCCTGCATTCCTTTTCGCAGGTCTTGAAAGCCTCTCTTGAAATGAAATGTAAGTGCCATGGAGTTTCTGGGTCATGCTCTATCAAGACCTGTTGGAAAGGCCTTCAAGAGCTGCGAGACATTGCACTGGACCTCAAAAACAAGTATTTATCAGCCACCAAGGTCGTTCACCGACCCATGGGCACGCGCAAATACCTCGTGCCAAAGGATATCGATATCAGGCCGGTTAAGGAGACAGAGCTGATTTACCTGCAGAGCTCACCTGATTTCTGTATGAAGAACGAGAAAGTGGGGTCGCATGGGACCCAGGACAGGTGAGGATTTCCATGTTGTGTTGACAATGCTCTGAGCCCCAAAGAGGGAAGAGGTAGAGGGGACTGAGTATAAGTAAAAAGCAAGTAACTGTGGAGGTAGCACATGCATGCAGGTCAAGGACATCTAACTAATAGCATGGTCCACAGATGCCCAGGCCTTTCAGTGGTGGCTGTGGCCAGGACAGGGTGTCAGACACCCTTTTTGTGTTACACAGGCAGGTACAAACTACCTTTTGAAGGTAGCTCCTTCATGAAAGTCATGCGGGCAACTTGTCTCTACAGGACTTGCAATGATCAAGCACCTTGGCTTTACCATGTTGAGTTCCTCTAAGTCATTTCTTGCAATCATTGCTCATGTGATGTAAGCTACTTTAAGTAGGCAAATGTTAACTCTGTTGGAACCAGTACTCCCAGGAAGTCTTACAAGAATACTGTAGCTGATGGTGAGGAGCCTTAAGATGCATCTATTGCATTTTAAAGAGCAAAGTATGTTTGCACTGCTACTGCCTATACAGAGGAATTTCTTCCTTTTAGTTCCATCCAAGACAAATCAGGTATCTCTTCAGTAGTTTGAGCATCTCTAGGTGGATGTCACCATCCACCTAKATGCATTTTTTGCTGCATTTTTTCCACTTAGCAGTGATCTAGTTCTCCAGCATGACGTGTCTTGCAGGATGAGAACAGCCTTTGCTGTTCTCTGGATGAGATGCACAAATAACGCCCAGGCTGTGTGTGTCTGGTAGTATCCCAGGGCGTTTGTTAAGTGAGGTGCAATGATTGATTTCAGGTTGGCTCATTAGTTGCTGTCTAACAACTTGGTTTTCTTTAACTACTTCCAGCACTCTTCCTTGCTCTTCATGTTACCTGGTGGTGCAATCTCAGGTGGTGATGTTATAGAGTGAAGGCATCAACATTTTTGCAAGGTCCTTCCATGTAAACTCTTGTTAGTTGTAGTGGTCTTTCCACTATGTTTTGAGAAATTTAGTGGAAAGAACATTTTATCATAGCAGAAATGAAGTTAAATAACCCAGACACAGAGATACCTCCTCCATAGAGTGCTGTGATTTGTAGGAAGTGTTCGGTGAGATAGCATTGGCATTGGCCATTTAATCCGCAACCACAACCCTATCAAAAACAAGGTGAAAAATGTTTATGAGTAACTGTGGATCATAGGGGAAAAGCATGTGCTGAAACTGTTCTGTGAGGGAAAATGTCATTTCAGTGGAAGATATGTTTTTGAGGGTTTTTTTTCTGTAGATTTTGACCAATTTATTTCTGGAAAAAATACTTCTTTCTTGGGCCACTCTGCTTTGCAATGAAAAAAGAATTGGGAGGTTGTTTGGAAATTGATTTCATAGGACGCATGAAATCAGCAGGCTAAGTTGTGTCAGAACCCAAATAAGTTCATTATAAATTTGCCAAATGAAACATTTTCAATGAACTGAAAAGATTTTAGAGGGGAGGAAAGTGCAACTTCTTACTCATCTAAATCCAGTTTAAAACAGGTCTTGCCTTTTCTTTATCTGAGCAAAAAAATATATGTCAAGATCTTGAGAGCTTGGGATTTTTTTCCTTTTTTTTTCTGGGGGTGGGGGGGGAGGTTGGGATAGGAAAATGTGTGTTCATTTATCCCGAGCTGTGCAACAGCGGTGATTAATTGTGAAGGTCTGCGGGAAATGAGACTGAGTGAGGATTTAGAGGACTGAGATATTAAGGCAGGAGGCAACTTTTAAAATGACTAAAATGCTGAGAAATACTGCTGATTTTCAGACATGCAAGATGGTGTTGGCTTTGGGAAGGTAGGAGAGAGCTGTAGTCCTGTGTTGAGCCATAGGGGATTGCTGGGATGTAAAGGTCATGTGTAATTACAGTCATTTTAATTGTAATCCACTGGCCAGCTTTGAAGAAGATTTAAAGAATTAAAGAATTAAAGAATTAAAGAATTAAAGAATTAAAGAATTAAAGAATTAAAGAATTAAAGAATTAAATTTGCGGAGGAAATATATGCAAAATCCACTTCAAGTGTTTACAGGTCCATCCCTTCTTCACTGAGGGAGCAATGAAAAGAAGGGGAGCTTAGCTAACCCAGGCTTCCTCCTTCTCCCTTTCGTGCTTATTTTTCCTCCATGATCTTTTTCTCTTTTTTTTCTTTTTCCCATGGAGGAAACATTTCACATTTCTTAAGCCTGGTGGCTCCGTTCCAGCCAGACATGGGGTTGCAGAGATAGTGCCTAATGACAGGGATGAGGGCAATGGGAACACAAAGAGCTGCTGTTACACAGACCAGGGGAAAAAAAAAAATGTGGTTTACACTTGCTCCACAAAGATGTAAAACCCTCACAAGGAAATAGCCCAAACAGGTTTTTATTTTAGAAGTCAAGCCCCAGGGGTATCTTAGCATTTGATCCTTGCACACGTCAAAAAATTGGGGAGATCCTTGCTGTTGCCTGCCAGGACAATTTTTAAGGATATTTTTATAGCAGATGGAATCAAAAAGAGATTTTAAATCTTTTGTCCCACAGTTTGCAAAGTGAGCAACCTGCCGAGCTCCCAGACGGAGAAAAAGGCATTTATTTGTACTGCTGGTGCAGGGATTTTAGTGACACCAATTAGGCAAGGCAAAAGGAGGCAAGTGGGAAGCAGGATGGCAACCACGGTGTAATGTTCTGATGCTTTTCAACAATCTAATTTTTTTTTTTTCCATTTCAAGCGGGATGTTAAAATTCACATTGCTTGCTTTTGAATTTTCATGAAGAAAATTGATTCCTTGGCACCATCCTCCCTTCTCCTTGCCAGGTCTGGTGGAAAGAGGACTGAGGTTGATGGCTCGGTTGCAATGCCCTGAATTGTTGGGTTACAGCGTACGCTGCAAGCAACAATTCTGTGCTGGCAGGCGGGTGGAAGAGATAATCTAATCATCCACTTCCCTCTCTTCTACGCTCTCTAATTATCCCTTGCGTTACTTGGATTTATTGTGCTCTTTAGGGGCACAAAAGGGGGTCGAGTTACTTTGTGCTGGAGCCGCGTGAAAGTCCTTCTCAGAAAACATGAGCTCAGCTGCTCCAAAGCCCTTTAGAGCTCTTGGCCGAAAGGCTTTCAAAGCCTCCTTAGGAATGAACCTGGAATGTTTTCTAGGATACCTTGGCCTTCCTGAGCTTTTATTTTTGCTGAAAATCAAAATACTTTGGGATCTGCGTGCCTGCGAGCAGTTGGGGCGTCTCCAGGTTTCAAAGCCAGGGACCTAAACCCAAGCCTGAGATGTGGAGCCTCCTCGCTCTTTGAAGTGCTCAAAATCTGATGAAGGAGCCGAGTTTTACAACTGCCATCCAAGGCTTCTGCAAACAGGTTTGCTACAACCCCAGAACTTACTGATTACGGCCAAACTACTTGTGTTTATTTACCACCGTCACACTTTGGTAGCCAATAAAAACGGTCTGGAGACCAAATAAGAGCAGCATGTGAACTGTATGGCTGTCAATACAAAAAATCTAAGTGCAGAGGGGAAAAAAATATATATTCCTGTTTCAGAGCTTTCCTGGAAAAAACACACTGTAATTCATCTTGTAGCGAGGTAGCTCACTTTCTCCTGCAGGAAAAAAATCCTTATCAGGCTCAAGTAAAACATAAATAATAGCAGATTATGAAATCGGGATCTCTTTTGTGCGAAAAGAAGGAAAAGTATTAACCTTCTTTATCAGGAGGGTGCAATGTATCATATTTCAAAGGCTGCTTAAGGTCCCTTAAGGAATCCAASGAAAGGGAAATTCTGCTATTCATGCAACAGTCTCCTGCTTCCAAAGTCTTGCAGAGATTACTGGGCTGTTTATTAGTGATTTTTCCCAGAGCAGTCTTGGAGCCAAGCAAAAGCCTCTCCCTCCATGCTGAAGACGGGGGGTTTGTTCATTTCTGCAATATAAAACACGAGTCCTAAGTTTCTCCCAAGGTGTATTAAGCTGATATATTTTATTGGATAGGGACCTGCATGTAATTGCTGAGCATGCCTGAGCTGAATATCAATAACTTATTTTGCCTGAGTGGAAATGAAATTTCTTGGTAGACATGTTCATATTTATATAGGGAAGAGTGGTAGTTATGGGTAAACAAAGCATTTGGTGGTTTTTTCTCTTTTTTTTTAACTGAGTCTTTGATTAAAATTCCATCACTCATGGCTCAAGAAACAATATACTGAACTTTCATTTGGTTAAAATTTGTGTGATGATTTGGGAATTTTTGGATCTGTTATCAGGCATGCCACCCTTCTTTTGTGAGACCCAATAAATAATGAATAACGAAATTAGGGAAGTTTGAACCCATCCCACTCTGTTAGAATGGGATTGGACTGTAAGATTTCCTGAAAACGTTTGTGAATAATAAGGTTATTGATAGAAAAAGGAAAAAGTGCAGCAGATGGAAAGTTGAGAGAGAGAGAGGGAAAGAAAAAAGGCCCCTAAGTCAGCTCTCCTAAAGATATTCACTCCCTTTGCCTTAAAACAGAATTGCAGTTAGAGCATCAGGTCTCCAGAAAGGACTTTTCACAAAGTCTGATCTTTCTGGAAGTGAATCTAAACCTCAATTTAGATTGAACTGAGAATGCCTGGGCCATTACTGCAGGTATTTGTTTAACTGGGTCTTAAAAGAAGTTTCCCTAGACAGACTCCGCAATTTCCCTAGGCAACCTATAACAGAGCTTTGCTATGCTCAGAGTCATAATATGAATTCTTCCTTTTTTTTTTTTTTTTTTTTCCAAATCAAACTGGTTATTTCTTATCCTGCCTGCTCTGGATATGAAGAGCATTCACTTGCTCTCCTCATTACTGTGACATTTAATAGGTGGGAAGGTAACTCTCCTTACTTTTCTCAGCCAGCTCTTTCAACCTTTTCTCATTCCTAAACTGTTCCTCTGGCTTGCCTGAGAACCTTCTCACATTTATTTGGATATTTCTCAAAGCATGATGCTTGCTTTTCATTTTAATTCACTTTTGCAAAATGCTCTCAGGTCCTTTTGGCCTAACGTAATCCCACATTTTTTGGAGCTCACTTGCTATTTCTTCATTAATGAAAATACAGGCTGGTTCTGGCATGTCCCTTGATACCTCCTTGCTGACATGAGGTATTGATAACTCTCTTTGGTACAGTTGTTTGCTGTCAGTCCCCAGTTGTTCCCTGTGCATGAGAAAACAATTTAAAAATAGTTAAGAGCCCGCTCTTAAAATCTTATATGAAAGTTGTGTACTTTGATGCATTTTTAGCGATGCCCATTGTGTTACATGTTACTTGGGCATATCATATGAAATATTTTTCCCTCTCTTTCATATATCGCTATGTGTCATTACCAAAGCAAGGGGCACCAAAGAAACTAACAGTGATTTGAAGATCCCCATGATCAACAGATCTGGTGGAGCTCCCAGTGGACTTCTTGTCTACGTATCATCTGGGCACCCCAAAAAAAAAAAAAAAAAAAAAAAAAAGCTGTGTTTAGATCTGCTAATGGGACAGAAATGAGCTGGCATTCACAGAGAAAATACAAACATCATCTCCTAGTAGCTTTTAATGGGGGTAACATCATCTTATTTAGCTTCAGACATTCAAAAGTTAGGTAATTAAGCTGGTAGGTCACTGTTTTCCTTCACTGAAAGTCAACTGGAGCATAGTTCATGTCATTCAGTTCATGTGGAGTCTCCTACTCTGGAGGTCTTCAAAACCCGCCTGGATGCCACCCTGTGCCACATGCTCTAGGTGTGCCTGCTTGAGCAGGAAGGTTGGACTAGATGATCTGTAGAGGTCCCTTCCAACCTTAAATATTCTGAAAATTCCTCCATGCTGCACAAGAAACTACCTCTATTATGAACGAGGGAGTATCTGTTGCTGAGAGATGTGAAAGAGCTCTTAAATTTGGTAGAAGATGAATAATTTTTAGGTAGACAAAGAGTCACAGACCTTAATTTTGGTTACTAGGCTGTCTTGCTCAAATTCTGCTAATGCCAAGCTCAGATGGTTTTAGGGAGAGCTAGAATATACCGCCCGTCACATTGGGCTCTTCTCTGAGTTACTTGGATTTCCAGCTGGGAATTCTTCCTCAGGTCCCTGCAGAACAACACTGAAACTCCTCTCTTCCATAACTGGTATCTTATGAAGAAAAATCCCCATGAGATAACTCTGGGGCTTTTTAGCCTCTCCATCTGGGATAGGATTCTCTAAACCACAAATACCTCCTTGCCCATCTCTGCAGAGAAGCCACCCCTGTGGTGTAGTTTGGGCTTGATGATGCTCAGAAATGCATTTGCAAATGACAGCTGGTAGCGTGAGACTGTGGATAGGYGGATTGAATGGGATTTGTCCATTCAGCAAGGCCAACATCTCCAATCTTGCAAAAAGAAGGAAAGAAAACAATGGCAATCAGAAAGCATGTTTCTGGGCCAGGACCTTGGCCAGGATTATGGTTGAGGCATCGTTTTTCACTGGTCATCCATATGCTTTGGGAGGGTTGGTTAAGATACATTCAATTGCATCACGCTTTTCCTCTGAAACTCTGGAGAAGGACATTTCTCTGAGTTGCTGAAACTGTACTGGCCTGGGCCCAAAGGAAATGAGATGATTGAGCTTAACCRTCAGCAGGGAGCCTGCAGAGATGGCAGCTGAGGTCTCTGACAAGCAGACACTTGGGAGTAGCTTCTGTGGGTAAACTCTGGTCTTTGGGCATCTTCGTCTTCACCTACTARCTCCTTGTACACATAGTCACAGCTCTAAAAAAATGCCTTTGTTTTGGCTCATTTAAAAAAAGTTAAAGATTATTCATCCCTTCCTATCATGTAAATTAGGGAATGGAATATCTGGTTAGTGGCATTGTCAGGAAAGCTTTCTAACAAAATAGAAAGGGTCAGGAATGGGTCAGGATCTTTGTTTTGGATATGCATACTCCCTCCTTCTGAATGTCTCTATTTCTCTAATACTTAATCGGAAATGGAGGGAAATGTGGGGGATTTTTAAATAAGATTTTTTTTCCCCCTCTTTATTTCAGCTTAAGTAGGATGGGCTTGCCCTTGGGAAATTCAGATTGATATACGTATATTATATATGTATTAATGTGTATGTAATCCCAGGAGTGGATATAAGGAGAGGGAATTTCCCATTTTCCACACAACAGGTATAAGAGTTTTACTCTGCACTTCAATCAAGTCAATTCAACTGCAGGATGCTTTGTATGTCTGGGAAATATCCTTTAGGGTAAACTGACTGCTTAGCACCAGGTGGCATGGATGCATCTTATGATGCTGTGCTCCTTCAGACTCCTGCTCCTCACTAGGTGAAACTAGGGGCAACCACCTTTCCAGCCACGGGTAAAGCTGAGTAAGATTTTAAATACCCTCTCCTAATGTCAACATTCCTGTACTTGAACCTTTGCTCTGAATATTTAACACATTTGCTAATACATTTACGAGGAGTCATTCTGAGGTTTCCTGGTGGAGGGTTCATGGGGTAGCAGCAGTTCTCTTGGTTCAATGTTAGGCAAACGTGCTCTGTGTGGTTGCAGACTTCAGCTTCAGTAGAGGCTTTCAAAGGTTTGTGAATATTTACACACAGTCCTGAATGAGGGAAAGACAGGAGAGCCTTTAAAAATTGAACCTAGAGAGGAATGTGAGTCAGAAAAAACAAACAGGAGGCCCGTCTGAGTCTGAAATAAATAAAGGAAGCATAGGAACAAAATCTCACCACCTCATTAATCCCATAACTTCTCCTAAAGCATTACCTCATTAGGAATTCTTGTAAATCTCATGGATTTGTTCCCATCTAATAGAGTGCTCAGCTCAGTAGTCCAGCTCATGCTCTTCTCTCTTTTCCCAACCCAAAACAGCCTTAAAATATCCCAAATAACTAGGCAAAATAGGATTTAGGAGATATGTCAGTAATTCCCCACATATTCCAATCTGCCTTTCATTTAATGATGTCAAGAGACTCCATCAAGTTCTCAGTCTTACTGTGTTGGGAACTTAATGAGATCTTTTACTCTAAGGTGCTAGAGCGCAGTTGAGCATCTGACCAAATGCCAGCATTTTCACCCTGGTTTATCTTTACAATAACTGGCAAAATGGCATCTTTAGGACATGTTCCGTCTCATCCAAAAGTGAATACCAAGTCAATGTCTCTTGTTCAGGTCAACTAAAGATCAACCCAGCATGACAGATTGCGGTGGGCTTGTCTGTACCACAGAGCAATGAAATGTGCTCTGAGATCTAAGGTTTGGGGAGATTAATCCCTCCTGGTGTGATGGTAGATGTCAARAGTCTTTGGAAGGGCCAAAAAAGGAGAGAGTTTTTGAGCACAGGATCACTTTTTACCTTTTTCTGCTTTATCAGGGCAATGCATGATGCAAAAGGAATTTCTCACATGGACGTGTGCTTCCCTGTGTCATTGCTCACTATGTATTCAGAAGCAGCTAGACATGTTTAAGGAAATATTTTAAGATACTTTCAGTTTAAGATACTTCCAGCCTGAAGGTCTTGGGAGAAGGGGGCTGTTGTTAGAGGATGGTTGAGTCACACTTTTGTAGAGTCACATCCCTTCCAAAGGTCCTCATCGCTGGTGATTAAAGAAGGAGATTCCCCAACTCACRAGTTACCTTTGCTGGGAAGTAGTCACAGTGAGGTAACCCCATATCATGCCAGACTTAGCAGCCTSAATTTAATTAAAAGCTGAAGCAAAACAAGCAGTAAAATCCTGTGTGATATTGGGCGAAGCATCATCCCGCACTGTCGTGATGCCTGCTCCCAGGTCAAGACCCTAAGTGTTGTAGGGCCAGCTCCCTGCTGCCTGCACCAGGCTGGGAGATACTTGGAAGGGAAAGTGCAGAGTCTTACCCTGCTTGTATCCATAGTCATTTCCCTGATATGGCCAGGCTGGAGAAGAGCCTGCTCAGGAGCTTTCCCAGCTTGGGATCATTGGCACAGAGCCTGTACTCTGACTGCAGAATTTCTCCTCTGTTCCTTCTCAGATTGAGCAAACATCAGCCTTTAGGGGATCATCTTCTCCCAGCTCCCTTCAGACAGCTTCAGAGGAATATGGGCCTTAGCGCTATGGGTTATATTTCAGTGGAGACATCACCATTGCTTCTCTCCCTTGCCCATAAGGGATGCAGAGACCATAATGGGAATTAAATGCTATTCTGGGTGTCAGAGCAGATGATGTGAATCTGTCAGGGAGTTTCAGAGTTGGTGATCTGCATACAGCTCTGTGGCCCTTTTATCTCATTGCAGTTGTCCCCATGTAGCCCTCGTTTGCTGCAGCCAAGGCTGAAACGTGTCCCCTTTCCCTGGCACCTTGCAGAGTCATCCAGCAATGACCCACCTCATCCAGCAATGACCCATTCTTGGTGTCCCAAGCTCTGCCAGGGGCGTTGCTTTTGCTCACTGCATCTCCTCTATTGCAGGCAATGCAACAAGACCTCCAACGGGAGCGACAGCTGCGACTTGATGTGCTGTGGCAGAGGCTACAACCCCTACATGGACAAAGTGGTGGAGCGGTGCCACTGCAAATACCACTGGTGCTGCTACGTGACCTGTAAAAAGTGCGAGAGGACTGTCGAGAGATACGTGTGCAAGTGAGACCCCCTCCTCGCTCCCACCGGGAGCCAAGRTGCCAGCAGAACCCATGCACTGCTCACAGAAGAGAAAACATTTCCCCGACTCAACGTCACTTATCTTGTAAAGACACAGACTTGGAGAGAGATGGTAGGAGGAGAAAGCAACTGCAAAGTGAAAATAGGACCCTTAAAAAAAAAATGTAAAAAGTGGAAAGCTTTTCCCCACCAATAAAATGCTCTCTGAGAAGATAAAAACTCCTTTGGGATGGTATCTTCTTCCAAAATATTTCCTATATTGCCAATGACATCCAGCCATCAAGTGCCTTAGTATTTTGAGAAACAAAAGTAGAAATTTTCAGCAACGGAAGAAAAACAACTCTTGTTGGAAACTAACAAATGCCCCCACCCACTAAAGCCTTCTAGTGTGGATATGGGATCTGCTTTAGGAGCATCCCAGCAGAGAAAACTCCACAACTTTTCAGCAATAAATATCTGTTGCCAAAGACTTTTTTTTTCCCTTTTTTTTTTTCATGGAAGCATCCACTCAGGATGGTAAAAGTAGAAAGATTTTCAGGTGCAGGCCTGAGATTTCAAAGTAACCGCTGCGGGAAAAGCTGTTCCCCATTATATCAGAGCTGGTTCAAATAAAAACCCACGAGATGCTGAACACAGTGAGAACTGGAGACCCTACGAAACGCTTCGTGGGCATGGGGTCCACAGATAGGATCCATCCAGTGGGTGAGATGCAGAAACAAAGACAAAAAAAAATAAAATAAAAAAAATCCTGCTTGTTTTCTCTACTCTGTTTGGATCTTTTGCCCCTAATCGTTGTTGCTTTACTGCACGGGGCCACCCAAGGCCTTTGAAATCTGCCAGTGCCTCTTTTCCCTCAACAAAACCATTGTGGAACCCCAAGAAACTCCAGAGCCCTCAACACTGCTCAGTCCCAGCTCTGTTAAGAGCAGGCACAAAGGTTAACAGCTACGATCCGCAGATCAAAGTGGGACAAATAAGACCCTGACCCAGCGAAGAACCACTATCTGTGGCTGTACATATTTTCTTTTGTACGCGAAACATACAGAAATATTTATAAGATATATCTCGGCGCTTTCCTCTTATCCTCCTTCTTACGTAAATATATCTCTATGTTATAAACAAGCCTTAACAATAGTATGAAATAAATGCTGAAGTTACTGGTGCAACAGCAGAATCCTAGAATCATTATGTTTCATTCAAGGACACTCTTTCTTACTTGGAAAGCTGTTCTAGTTTCCCTCCCAAAGAAAGGATAAGAGGCATTTGCAGGCGTGGGATAGAGAAGTTCCACTATTCCCTATCTCCCCAGACTGTTCGTTTTCAAGAGAATTAGCCAAGACACGGCTGAGGCAATGAAACTTGTGACTGCAGTGTTCACTCAAAAGCTTCCAGGATTCTCTAGATCCCTTTATCCAGGTCTTTGGGCATCTAGAAGACACATTGCTGCCTCAAAGCCATTGCATAGGGAGAAGTAAAATGGGACGCACTTGTGGCCCATCATCTTTTTGAGGAACGCCATGGCCATGATTAAGGGTGGGAGGAATTTCTTCCTGGCCAGATTTATGTACAATGAAGACATGACTTGCATGGAGCAGTGTGTGGATCTCTATGTGGAATGTCCTAGAGCCCACCATAAACTGAGTTCACCTCGAGTCATTSCTACCCTTCCTGTGAGGCCTCCTTGATGCAGTCAGCCAACCTCTTCATTCTCTAAACTGTGTGCAAGGAGAGCATGCATTTTCCAAGAAGGAAATACCGCTGTCTTCCTCTGAACGTTTGTTTTCACCCACTAGGTCAATGGGTAGCAAGYGCCTATGACATGCTGCTGCATAGAGCTCAAGAGTTGGGAGAAAAATGCCCAGCATTGCAAACTAGGGAGCTAAACTGGAGATATTTTATTCTCCTTGACTACTCTTCACATAACTGCAGCAGGTCCAATCTCCYCACCTCCCTCCCTCCCCTGCAGGTCCTGCCAAGAGCAGGCGAAAGGAGGCCTTCAGTGGGTTGTCAGTGGTTTATGTTACTGTCACCCTGTAAAAAGCCTGTGGGCTCTGAGGTCTGCGCTGCTCTGTGTGATGAGCGCTGGGTGTCCCTAGGCTGACACAAAGACAGGTTGGTGGCAGGAATCCCACTGCTCTCTGGAGCCAGAGTTTGGCTTTGTTCAATATGCAAAGACATGGTCAATTTTTTTTGTTGTTGTTATTTTAAGGCATTTTCTTTTTAATTTCAGTTTCTCATGAGGCCAAAGAGGCAGGAATATTCTGACTGAGGGAAAATTTAAGTGTTTCAGTTCTGCTCTGTAAGAACTCTTTTTCTTGCTCCCTTGCTGATGTGTTGAGTTTTTCAGCTTGGCAAAAAAAAAAAAAAAAAAAAAAAAGAAAAGAAAAACAATGAGATGCAAGAAATGCTCTATCTCTGATGTCAAAGCTCTGTTCCTCAGCTGCATTTCCCAAGTTAGAAGAATCAGTATCATTACAAAGTATGAAAAAAAACGTGGGTACACCTACCATTCATGTGCAGAACCTAAGACCATCAGCTGGGACCTCTAAGAAAGCATTAGCTAGTGAGCAACATACTGCCCAGCAGCACGTTACTAAAGACAGGGAACGAAATGGCTGAAGTGTTTGGAGGTTTTCGATTTGTGGGATCCAGGCTCAAAAAGTCTGCTTGCATCTCTTAGAATCCATCGCTGTCTTCACCTCAGCTTTGCTGAACTAGAGTCACTGTGGTCACAGCCCTTGTCATTGATTTTTGGTACATGAATCAACACTTACACCATTTTTTTTCCCCATAGCTTTCAAATTTAAGGGTTTCTTTTCTTCTCTGGACAGACCAACTCCCAAACCAGGGCATTAGCGATATGCCCAGGTTGACAGGACCAAGACGAGAGTCATACACAGGTCCAATAATTACAGCCTCTCTTGCTGCACAGTCCTTCTTCATCCAGCAAATCAGGCTCATCCTTCTCCTGGTGGTCTGGCACTCTTTAACTTTTACAAAACATCTTTTCATGAGGGAGAAGCAGTGGCTTCTCCCTTTTCCTTCCCTTTCCCTTTTCCTTTCCTTTCCTTTCCTTTCCTTTCCTTTCCTTTCCTTTCCTTTCCTTTCCTTTCCTTTCCTTTCCTTTCCTTTCCTTTCCTTTCCTTTCCNCTCATCCTTCTCCTGGTGGTCTGGCACTCTTTAACTTTTACAAAACATCTTTTCATGAGGGAGAAGCAGTGGCTTCTCCCTTTTCCTTTCCTTTCCTTTCCTTTCCTTTCCTTTCCTTTCCTTTCCTTTCCTTTCCTTTCCTTTCCTTCCCTTCCCTTCCCTTCCCTTCCCTTCCCTTCCCTTCCCTTTCCTTTCCTTTCCTTTTTTTTTTTCCTCCCTCTTTCAATACAAACTGAAGAAAAGAAGTCTATGACATGAGACCATACTTCTGCAATGGCTAAGAGCGCATTCTGCTCCTTGCAATCTTACTCCAAAGCTTTTTATTCCCGGCACCAACAGCAAAGCACGGAGAGGCCAGAGGAGAAGAGCATCCCTGTTCTTCCGTGCAACGCTTGATGCCACACTAATCCGCACAGGTTCCCTGAAATACAGCTGCCAAATGATTTTCTCTACATGTATGTCCTGAAGGATACTTGGGGGAAGATTTGTCACAAATCTGTTTCATAGGGTTTTGCAAGTAAAATGTATACTTGATAGCAGGACAGGCCTTTTTTGTGCCTACATTTCCTTCCCCCAAACCTACAGGGACAAGTTTTCAAAGTTTTGCACTGAAACACTGGAGTGTTTCAGCTTGTGAGATAAATAGTTTTTAGTAATTGTGAAGGTTTCTGTTGGGTGATGCTAAGTTCTCTGTCTCCTAATATGCCCTACCAGGTCCTAACAGCTGGTATAATTTGGCCCAGCTCCACATACTGCTATACAGCTCTGTTGATTTACATTAGCTGGAAAAATACAGCTGATATATTCCCATAAATATTATTATTTCAAATTATTACAGCATTATCCCTGAGGGAAAAAAATAAAAACAAGCTATCTTGAAAAGTATTATGTTGGTGGCTTTGCAGCATTTATTCATTTGAAAAAATATATTGATGATTTAATAAAACAGCTTGTACTTAATGCTATCTCCAAATCTGAGGATTTAGATCTTGTGTGCATCCAGCTGGCTTTACATATTTTGATGAATTCTCACTTGTCCTCACTCTGCTACAGTATTATATCATTTAGGTTGTTCTCCATGATAGATGGACAACATTCACTATAGAAAGGTCCCATCGGATTGTTAGTTTTAGTCTGCAAAAYGGAAAGTATCTTAATAAGGCTGAAGAGGCGGCTTCACACACTGCTCAAAAGGGGGAAAAAAAAAATAGCGGAAACAAATCTGAATACAATTAGCAGCGCCTTTGTCAGGAAAGTGATAAAAGAGTCCCTGAGGGAACATCCCTGTTTCTTGATAGAAAACAGATCACTGTARACAACCATTAGGATCCTCTGAATTCACTGCTCTGGGGCTACCTGCTCCAGGAAAACATGAGATGGAGGCTCCAGAGGTACAACGGGATGAGCAGTGGGAGGAAAATGCAGCCCTTGCTTTTGCTTTGCCTTAAAAAGTGCATCCAGCTCCTTCTCTTCCTCCTGCTCCTCAGTAGATGGCAGAGCAGGAGGCATCCAACAAGATCCAACAACATTCAAGCAAGTCATGGAGCTTAGTGCAGTGAAACCATCCTGTACTGCCTGGAGTCACTTTTTTTCCCCCCAAAAATGGTCTCATACAGCTCTTCTCATCATCATGCACTCTGCAACAGCCCTGGATAGCTGTTCTTCAGCACTCCACCAGGAAGGATTTGCCTTTCCTTGGCTTGGGAAGAGCATTGTTAAACACCATGGTTTCATCTGCAGGAGAAGAGTTTTGATCGGATCTGGCATGGGCACAACTTCAACCTCTACGCGTGGGACATGGAGCAGAAAAGGAGATCAGGGAGATGGGGGAAAGAGCAGAAAACTTAAAATCCACCCAAGATTAATGACTTTAACATGTACAACATGTTTTGTTTTGCTTTGTTTTCCCCTCAGGACCAGTTTCATCAGTCAGACAGTTTGATTAAGTATCTCAGCATAACTATGGTTTATTCATCTAGAGTGAAAGTTATCCCTTGTTCAGGAAAGCAACATTAGCTTTATTCTCTATCCAACCAGCTAGTAATAATATTAATAAAAATGATAATAATGGTGTTCATTGTGGGTTCTTATTTGCTTTGTTAAGAGTAAGTAGACTTGGTCTACTTTGCAATAATCAAATGAACTATCTTAAAGATCTTTTCTGAAATTAAAGATGCCATCTGGGCTGTGTGGAATTTTTTTGGAGCTTAATATTCTAAGTTTTTCACCAGAATCACATGGGC